GGCCCGCAGCGGAAGGAAGGAGCCCGCCGCGGAAGGAAGGAGCCCGCCGCGGAAGGAGCCGCCGCGGGTCTGTAAAGGGCAGCGCTGCTTAACACTGAGGCCCAGGGTTCGGAAGAGCTCGTTTCACCTCTTTGTTCGACACTCGGTAGCTTGTGCTCTGAAGCGAGATTTGGCCGCTGAGCGGATGTGCTGTGAAACATTTATGGGTTATTTTTGCGTTTACCGTGGTCTTAGGTGACCTCGGTCAAAACAAAAATTACCTTTTCTTAAAAAACACACATTGAAAGATAAAATTACCAAGAAGTTCGAGATCGTGCCTGCGGAGTACTAACCCCGGTGCCGCACCCTTCTGAGCTCAGGGCGCTGTTTGGTTGCAGGTCACCTGCCGGTGAATCCGGTCGGCCTTAAGGACACGTGGTGCCCTAAGCTGGCCTGGGACTTCCAGTGCAGGGGCCCAGCCTGATCCTCGGGTGCTCCCAAGCCCCTCATTTGTTTTCCTCTGCATCAGAAGTTAATGGGGTGGTTCGGTGAACTCACGCCATTGGGCTCTGTGCAGAGAAGGTGTCCCCACAGCTGCCCGAAGTTCTCCCGCGAGCTGAAGTCTGGGCGCAGGCGTTCCCAGGCTCTGTCGCCGCTCGGCTGCTCTGGTGCCCGCAGCACTGCCCTCTGCTGGCTGCACTGTAGCACGTGTAAAACTTAAAGCCTTGGATTCATTAGGTCAATGCCTCTCAGACTTACACTCAAACTGCAGAAAATCGCCTGGTGGTCTTGTTCAAGCGCAGACTTAAAGTCAGGTCTGGGGTGGGAACTGAGAGTCTGCGTTTCTAATGAGTTACCAGAAGACGCAGACAACTGCTGTCCACACACCACTGTTCGAACAGCAAGGCACAAGCTGTGTCCAGACTTTCTGCTGTTCTGACCGTTAGCTTTGTGGTTCTGGGCCTGTCCAAGGGACTTGGTTCTCTCCTCCACTTACTACCCTGCTCGGCTCCTGGCTTCCACACTCATTCTCTTCTCAAGTTAAAATTTCCAGTGGGCCTTCCTATGGGTTCCCGTGGTCCCCAGGTGCTTGGCTGTGCTGCCAGGGACCAGCTTCTCCCAACAGGCAACGCGAGGCAACACAGGGAAGACTTGCAAGGCAGGAGCCCCTGTGAACTGAGAGAATGCAGCCTTCACGTGCGGCTCTGCGCAAAGAAACAGCTTGATTGGGCCCGGAGGTGGGACCAACGAGGGCACACATAAATTAGGCCTTCAACCCAGTGAGTTCATTCATTGTCCACCCATATTTACCTAGTTCCCCAGCCACGCTGGGAGCTGAGGTCCTATGCTGGGAGCCGCTTAATGAGAGCCAGTCTCCCAGCCAGTCTGCTGAACCCCTCTATGTGCCCGGCTTTGTTACACCCCTTTACCCAAAAGCTCCCCCTAAGGAATGGGTCTGGGTATTGGGAGAGGAAATCCTTCCAAAATTCTTCATTGCAGGTTTTCATTTTAAGAGGTTTCCTTGACCACGTTTATTGGTTAAAGTGGCAGCCCCCACACCTGGAGAGGTCTACTCTCCCCTCCCCCCCTCTTATGCATCACCTCCTCAGAAGGCTGCATGGTAGAAGGACGCATTTAGCCTGGAGCCACCTGCACCAGCTGCAAAGTGGTAACCACAGGCTCTTGCTCTCTTTCATCAGAGGCTCTGCCCATCCCCATGTGCTCCAGCTGGGCAAGCTATAGCCCAGTCCCTTTGCTCAGTTCCCTCCCCTTGACCTCTCTCTCCTAGTCTGTTCTCTCTCCTCCACCATCTTTGCAAATTTTTGTCACCCTCATTTTCTATTTCCATCATCTTCCTGTGTCTTATTTTTTCTTTCCTCTGTTCCACCTCATCCTGCAGATACACTTCTTTAATCACTGCTGCTTTGTTTACCAAGCTCTCGCTGTGCTCTGTTCTGTCTCTGACGTTCCATCTGCCCACGAGGGTCTACAGCCCATGAGAGTTAGTGCCTTGCTTGGTTGGTTTCCTTCCTTAGTGAAATAGAAACTATGGTTCCCTCAATAACTGCTTCCCAGCCCAGTGACCCCTGTGTCTGGGAGCCCAGCTTGGAGACAGGCTCTTCATGGAGAGGACAGCACAGCAAACACATTGGTTCATTCTCTCAACAGATACCTGTAATGGGACTCCTGATGGGACTCTTCCCAATGCCCTAAACTTAGAGCTAAGACAAAGAGACATCATGTTCCAAAAAAAGCTACAAGTAAGGCAAGAATAGTATCACCTCTAAGCTAAGTAAGAGGTGATCAAATTGATTTTGCTCCCCCAGCAATCACCCCAGCACTCTTCACCCCCATTCTGTATAAACAGAAGATTAAAGAGAGAGAAAATCATCAGGATCAAAATGGTTGGAGCTGGGAGAGACCTGTGGCCTCTCCCTCTCTCCCACATGAATGAGGTTCCCTTTGCCAAATGAAAGTGGCTCCAAAAGCACTACTTGAGAAATTCGAGAAATACAAAAAAAGTGAAGCCTCTTTCCATGGTTAGGCAGTGGATTCGTTGATCTTCCCGAAGACAGAAACTGTGGAGGTGGAGTGGGATGGAGAACAGCCTGCACACTCGCTGCTTGGCATGGAGAGGCTGTAGGAGTCTCCACAGAGGCCACTGCAGATGGTGGCCAGGCTTCAGTTGTCTTGTCACCTGGCCACCAGGTAGGCAGACGCCAGCCTCGAGGTTGGATGGTACATCGTCGGTGGGAGCTGAGTGGGAGGAGGGCCCCGAGAGGCCGAGCGAGAGAACATCTCCCACATCACACTCTTCAGTGGAGAGCGCCCCACTCCCACCAACCTTACTGTGGCCCCCCCAAACACTCACACCTGTGCTCCACAAATGAGCCAATAGTCATATGTCTGTCAGAGGAGGCATCCACAGTGGATCAGTATTAGTCAGAGAAACAGAGAAAACTAACAGCAGCCAGGTAACTAAGAAAGAGTTTGGCCCTAAACAAGTCAAGAAGCTGAAACTAGATGAGGTAAAATAGGAAGGGAGAAATATTAGACCATACCTCCTTCCCTATTATAGATTTTTGGACCATGAGACAAGCCTTAGCTGGAGTGACAGGAATAGGTTAAGGGGAGTTTTACAGTGAACTGTACTGTTAAATTACTAGAAGTGATAAAAACAAAACTGAGGGATTTTCCCAAAACATCCTTAAGGCAGATGGAAGGCAGATCTGACAGTCCTGATGTGAATGGGGCGAAAATGTTAGCTCCCAACCAATCAAGTTCAGACTATTTAAAAAAAACAGTTTATATGTATTTATTAAGCAACTGCTATGAGTTAAACACCATTCTAGATTTAGCACTGAGAAAGACAGACAGTTCCTGCCTTCATGCAGATTATATTCTAGTCTGGAAGACAGCCCC